TATTTCTAAGATTATAATAGAATTAAATAGTGTTATTGAAAATTATTTAACTTATTTGATAACGATATAATGATAATAGAATATTGTGTTGGTCCATTACCTTTCCATAAATACTGCTCTCCAATTTTAAGAGCAGCTTACAAGGTCAAAGGGCGTGCAGGGGTGAAAAACTTCAGACAATTCAAACAAAAACGCTTTGTGCATTCATTCCACTAAACTCTTTCTACAAGTGCTGGGCGCAGACCTTTGAACACAAAGGCATCGGAAAAATGTCAGCGTTACTTGGAAAGTCAAATAAAGCTACGTTGAGAGTCCCAAAAAAGTCAGCTTTAAGTTTAAATTACTTGGAGGCATTAGCTTTAACTATTCTTTTCACTTTTAGAACTTATTTTGTGGTGTAACATTTTACACCAAGCCAAATTGCGAAAGTTAAGCTAATCCCAGCTAAGCTAATAAGCTACGCGAAGCTGTAAATATTTCGCAATGCGAAAACTTATTACAAAAGCTACTTATTTTTATGGTCAATAAAATAAAATGTGGGTTTATGAAACAATATTTTGTTTCTCTTTTTAACTTTAACATAAAAGGTTTTAACAAGATAGTAGTCACTTTTTCTATTTAAAATGTATCTAATAATTATTTGCTAATAGAAATAGGTATAATACCCTCATTAATATTACATACAATACACTTAATTGTCCATATCTTTGTTTGCTAATTTGCTTACTCTCATTCTGTAAAATATTTAATTGCACAAGCCCCATTTACAGTCGCCACTTTTTACGTTTCGTTAATTTGTAATAAATTACCCCAGTTGATTTAGATGATTTTGGCGAGGCTTTTATCTAATGTGCACTCAACAAATAGCACATAATACTATATTATGACTATTTCCGATTTAGCCAAGCCACATATGTAAACACACCCACAAAAACACACGTAATCGCGTGAAAATAAACACACTCATGGAATAAAATCTGTTAATGACAATAAAGTGTAAAAACATAAAATGCTGTAATTGTCGAGTGCATGGAAATGAAATTTGTACAACACCAACCACACAGCAGATGTACTGCCCCATTTTTGCCCAAACCCTCAACCCATACGACATCCAATCTTATGCAATGTTGATATTGTATAATTTGTACAATGTGTCGCCAGTTGACCAACCGAGTTATGTTTGTTAATTTCCATGTTGTAAATAAATAATTAAATTACTTTGCAGGCAAATGCATCATAATGGGCTCGACACCGGAAAGAGACCCAATAAAATACACAACACAGATATTAAGTTGTTTTTAATGTGCTCGAAATGTTGTCATCCTGTGGATCTCGATTCTCTGTGGGGGTCTGTGGTAATAATACATATCTACGAGTCTGTCACTGAGGCCAGGCCATCATCATTCTGCCAACAAAATCGAATTACTTCCGTATGTTGTGGCAATATACTCACAACTCACTAGAATTCATATACGAGTATATCCCCAATTCAGGCCGCACAAATTCAACTCCATCTCGACACTTCACTTGTCCTTGTCATCCGTTACAGGCAGCCCTTTGCCCTGCTTTTCAACCCCCCATTTTCCACCCATATTTTCCCGGACTTCCCCGGTTTTTCACAACCCACCAACCCACAAACCCGACCCCACACTTCCCAACTTGTTGGACTTTTGTAACGCTTCGTCTGGATGCTGTTCATCAGGCTGCAGTCGCAGCAGTACGGCTTACACACAATTTGCAAAATAACCTCAACTCACCCACACAATCCTCATACGGATCCCCCTTCAAAACTCCGCCACTGCCTCACAGGCACAGGCGGCCCTTCAGTCAGTCAGTCAGTTGGGCTGGGTGAGTGTGTAAATTGTCTTGTGTAAATATGCAAATTTTTCGTATTTTCATACTCTAGGTAGAGGCTTCATAATTTCAACAAGAACTTTACAAGGCCCTTGAGAACATGTATGTAGTTCAACTTCTCTAGCATAAACACAGTAACTTGGTGGTAGGACCTTGAATAGGAATTTTCCAGAAGTGTTATTAGGAAAAAGTAACAGAAGTAACCGAATAACTAAGAGAAGCTACTTGATAGATTAAAGTGTGATCTATTTTTAAATAATAATCCTAATTTCAACAAGAACTTTACAAGCCCCTCGAGAACATGTAGTTCAACTTCTCTGGCGTAAATATACTAACTTGGTGGTAAGCCCTTGAAAAGGAATTTTCCAGAAGTGTTATTTGGAAAGGGTAACCAAAAACTAACTAAGATAAGCTACTTGAAGGATTAAAGTGTGAACTTACTTTTTTTAAATGTATCCCATCAGATTAATTCTCTAGAATTTATGGATTATTTTAGAACCCCTGTACATGGGGCTCTTGGGACTTTTTTTGTGGCATAATATTTCTGTGGCATAATTTCTGTGAACCATCTTATATATAATATAATATCTGTATCCACAAAACATAATCATGGGTACTGAATAACGAAATAATAACTTGTCACTGTGAATTAAAAAATTTTATATAAATTTCTTATACGATAGATATACTTTTTTTTAACCATTTCTTTCAAGGGTATTAAAAACACCGACTTTCTGGTGTATATCCTTTCAATCCTGCTTTTATTGTCAACGTTGTTGTTGTTATTGTTTGTGTGTGGATCGGGGGCGTGGTGGGCGTGGCTCGTTGGCAGTTCGTGTAAACAAACCAAGGCGTCGGATTAAAAAGTTTTGCATTACAAAGAGTTTTTCGGTGGCAGGGTGACGGGAAAAAGGGGGAAATCCAGCAGGACGAAGGCTTGGGAAAATGTTTTGATTATTTAACTGCAAGTTACGATAAAACTAATTGCAATTACAAGCGGACTCTCTCTCTTTATGGGCCCTAATGAAATTGCCAATGCCAAGGCTGACGATTCAGCACAACTCAAATCAAACTCGGACGCAAAACTTCGCAATGCAATTTTATTGGCTTGGTTCGATTCAAATGGTTTTGCTTTCTTTGTTGGCCCCTGCATAAATTTTCCTCGGGCAATATTGATTTCCATTACAAATCCAATATTAAACTATGCCCCTGAGTACGATTACTCGATTTCTACCGTTTGCTTACTTACTTAAACCTTTTGTAATTCAACGAAATTGAGGACACAGCAGGAAAACACTCCCTACGCACAGATATGTGGCTATTACAAAGGATCATTAGGAAAATAGATATATTTCCCCTAGGAGTTGTCTTTTAATCTACGAAAATATTGAGTGCCTATTTCGTGTTCATAATTTACGAAAATATTTTGGGGCTTCTTAAGGAACGATTTCTACTAAATTTATGTTTGCCGGAGGGAGGGTAAAAGTGTTCAAATAATTTATTTAATTTGAACTGGTCACCTTTTTGCTTTAGTTCAGTTAGCCATTATTTATAATTTGTTATTCCATTTTAATTATGTCAGGTAACGCATTAAGCCCACTTTAATCTAATTTTGTACGTTTTGAATTAAAGGGAGTATGCGTCTTAAAAATAAAATTAAATTATAAATATAAAAAATTATATTTAAAAAATTTTCTTTTTAATTTTATTAATTCATTAACTAAATTTTCATAAAACCAACATTTGGTATTTTATAAACCTGTCCACAGATTTATTTTCCTCATTTGTAAACGATATTTATTTTCTTTTTGAAGAATTTTTTAAGTCCGTTGTTTCTACATTTTTAAATTATTTTGAAGTCTTTCATTCATCGAATTATCTAAAATTTCGTTCAAACCAAATCTTAAAAAAATAATTGTAGTTTTTTAAATGTATTGTTACAAATTATCTTTTTGATATTTTTTGTGTACAAAATGAACAATTTATTTTAAACGCAAATATCTAATTTTTCGTTCAAAATTTTATGGATAATTTTGACATGATTAGTTTAATTATTATCTTAAAATTTTTTAATATTATGTAAAGCGTAATAACAAACAAGGAAGAACGCTATAGTCGAGTACCTCGACTATCAGATACCCGTTACTCAAAGGGAAATGGAGATATGCAAGCAGCAAAGCGAGATTAAAATGCGCCACCTACCGGCGGTAGACAGATTTAAGCGTTATGGGCGTTAGAGTGGGCGTGGCAAATTTATTTTTGGATCAATCGATAGGTATTAACGACACCAATACATTTCAGTTAAAATTTTTTATCTAGCATGAAAAATGTGGGCGTCACAGGTTTTCGCGGTTTGTGGGCGTTTAAGTGGGCGTGGCAAACTTTTTTTTAGGTCAATCGATAGGTATTGATGAGAACAATACATTTCAGTTAAAATTTTCTATCTAGCATCAAAACTGTAGGAGTTACAGTTTTGGGTGGTTTGTGGGCGTTAGAGTGGGCGTGGCAGTCTACTGAAACAAACTTGCGCTGCGTAAGAAGATCACGAATCTGTACGCCAAATCTCAATAGCCTAGCTCTCATAGTTTCCGAGATCTCAGCGTTCATCCGGACAGACAGACGGACAGACGGACAGACGGACAGACGGACAGACGGACATGGCTAGATCGACTCGGCTAGTGATCCTGATCAAGAATATATATACTTTATGGGGTCGGAAACGCTTCCTTCTGCCTGTTACATACTTTCCGACGAATCTAGTATACCCTTTTACTCTACGAGTAACGGGTATAAAAAATAAAAATTCTATTGTCAGAATTTATATATGATATTTTAGGACTTTCTGTGATTAAGCTGTTAAGATTTAATCTACCCATAAAATATTGTTAATGATTAGTTTATTTCTTAATCCCTATAAGCACTTGACAGTTGTTACATTTTTTTTTAATACCTTTTACTTTCCAAGGTGAAAACGGAAAGTTATCATTTTTGAATAACGCTTTTTCCCCTGTGCACTTCACATATTCCCAAAACCACTTAATACAATTTCACCCACAGAGAATCTGTTCTCAGAAAAACATATTACAAGCACTTCAGCTAACGATGCAGCAAAAGCTGGCTCTTAGTGGCTGGGAACACAGACTCACCTGCTTTTATTTGACCTTATGCGGCTGCAACTTGTTGACTTTAATGAAAATGCACTCAGAAGCTGGCTGGCACACACACAGAATGCTGGCACAACAAGTTAATATGTATTAGCTAGTACGCTAGTATGTCTCTAGTATATTGGTTAAAAACGGCACTCGGTGAGACACCAAACAGAAAAAAAAGGACCAACAAAAAATCGGGCGGCACTCCACACACAAACGACCAAGCGACCAAAACTCTTGCAGTCGCCGAAAAAAATCAAGCGCGAAAATACCGACTAAAACTTGGCTAACATTTCTGGCTAATTAGCGCTTTCTAGCGCTCTGTATTTTTGTTTGTGTTTACAGCGTCCTCTAGCATTTATGTAAGCTGAATGTAAAAACTTTACAGGCCTTACAGGACCTTAGAGTCTGAAAATGTTGTGGCAGGCCTTTCGGTATGTCGCTGTCCTTCGAAGGGATTGTGTGAGCTGTGCGTCCTTGCTGAAGGAGCCGCCGCGTCCAACTGACTGCTGCTGGATGTGCAAGCTGCGATTGTTGCAACGACTCTGCTGCCACAGCACCAGCAGCAGCAGCAGCAAAACGCAGCAGCAGCAGCAGCAGCAGCAACACATAAACGCAGTACATGGGGGTCGATGTCGGTGGAATATACATATACTCGTTGCTGCTGCCGAAGTTCCTTGCAGTCGAAGGGTTGTGTAGTTGCACTTGTAGTTGCTCGTGTTGCAACATACACAGCAGCAACACCAGCAACAGCAACAGCAGCAGCTACAGCAGCAACACGACGTCAACTTCGGCCCACATTGTGCAATTGGCTTAGTTCCCAGTCAACAACTGGCCGCCTTACAGTGCCCGTTTACAGCGGAGAGAAATGCTTTCTCTCTGTCTCTCTCTGTATGTAGTTTCCTGTCTCTTTCTCCGCTTTCTCTCTGACGCTTTCGCCGAACAGCTGTTCGCGTTTTGCCGGCTCTTATCAGTGAAATGGTAACAGTCCTCTGTTAGCGTGCAAATGCACTTCAGTTCCTCGTCTTTTGGCCCTGGCCTTTCTTTCTTTTCCTTTACTTTACTTTACTTGCCTTGCCTTCATTTCCTTTCGCTGGGGTTTGATTTATTATGTAAAAGTACAAGGACACTGCCATATACAGTGGGGTCTTCCCAATTCGGCGACTTACTGAGCGGGAATTTAGATTTAAAATTTAAGATTCTATTAAAAAAGTTCCAGATTGTATCCTTAGAATGTATGTATGTTATTAAATAGTCTTTACTGAATGCTTGTCTTTTGGTTAAAAAACATATTGATCCAAATAATGGTATCAAAAAATATTTATAAGAAGTATATACCTAAATTAAATAATTGCTAAACTGTATGATCTTTAAAATTCCCGCTATACAACTTTCTATAACAATCAAAAATTAAGCAGAAACCTTTTTGGTAAGGTGGTATAATTATCATTTTCCTTAATATAATAAAAGTAGCATATTCTAATAAGTCGTTTAATTATTTTAAAGAATTTATTTTTGATTTAATTTTTTAAGAGTCTTATGTACATATGTGTTCTTATATTGATAGTTGTTAATTTTGGAGAGGTGTTATATTTACAGTTTTCTTTAACACTAAATCGGTAGTGTATTTTAATGACTGACACTTATATTTAAATTTTATATTAATATAAAATCAGTTATTTTACTGAGAGCTCACTGTTTCCAAGGAACTGCGTGTGCGTGCCAAGTGTTGGACAAACAAGCTGAGCACTAAAGCCGGAATACATTTGAGACACTTGCAATCGACTTAATTCGATGGGGGAGGGGGGAGGGGAAGGCGATAAGGCCTCAATGCCCTCGGGGATGACAAGCATTATGAAAATGGATTACCACAAAATGCAAATGGCTAATACCGATTACCACCTTACTGCCAGATTAAATCACCTTGAGATCGGAAAACAGTCGGTCATTAATTACACACAAAGTTAATCCCCACTTCTAATAGAATCTAATAATAGAGAAGTCGAGTGGAAAGTTTTCCACCAAGTTTTCAATTTCCCGTTGCCAACCGGCGGTGTTAGCAGACCTCTGTTAAAGGACCTCTGTTAACTGGGCCGGCACGTGTTTCTCTCTCACACGCACACAATCAAGCGGTCTTTTTTGATTCTGTTTTGATTAATAGCTTCGTTGCAAGCTTATCAGGCGCCCACACACACACACACACAAGCAGGCAGCACCAGGAAGTGCAACAATGTCACGTGGCCGGCATTTCCCGAAGTCTCTAACAAGGACTCTCTCTCTTTCTCTTTGCCGAGTTGCCCCCATTTTCTCTCTCTGTAAGGCCTGCGCTGTTTACAGCAGTTAACTTTTTTTCCACCGCCCTGCTATCGAACATGTTGCAACTATCCGTCTCGCTTTCACATTTCCCCTGCTTTCCCCCAAAGCAACAACAAATAAAGGAGTATCAACAAAAACAAAAATAGTGCAAGCAACAAAAAATCGAGTATTACATAAGTCGGTGCTCCACCTACGCGAATTGTTGGTGGATATAGTTCTGGCCCTATGTGATTGTCCTATATGAAAGATCGGGTATTTTTGGTCGGTTCTTCGCTTTTGGCGAATGAAAAGTGCGAAATTCGATTGTTCGTTTTAATTGCCAAGCGCCGGGTTTAACTGTCATCCAATGTAGCATGCATTTTGGGGCCATCCGATAGTCGGGGGAATCCCCAGTTTGGAATTAGCCAGCAATGAAGCGTAATCAAAATATTATTTATTAATTTTTGATTGCCATTCATTCGGCTTTGACCTCTTTTTAAATATTTTATTTATCCGGACAACTGCATTTGTTTTCATAAAATTATCTTGATTTGGGCTGGATAAAAATTCAATTTACAAATATTATTCAAAATTCATGATTTTTTAGTTCGTTTCTTAAGTTTACCATCAATAAAACGTATACAAATAATACTGTTTAAAGAGGAAAATGAATTAAAATTACTATTGATTTAACATTGTAGAACATATACGGGCGTTTAGTTTGTCGCCTTTTTGAAGGAAGTTTTTGTCATGAGCGTTTTGTTTTTGTTAGAATGTGACAACAAAAATATAAATAACATCCTTTATATCAGTCTTTCACAGTGTGATAATGTAAATATTATTTATTTAAACCAAAAAAACCCATACCAAATATAGCACTTCACATCTGATGATATCTTTCAAATTTGTATCTATGTCTTATGTTTATCAACTATGCCCACAAGTTCTCAATTTGAAGACAGTATTTATGTTTAAAAACTCGTAATATGTAAGTTAGGTTAATCAAAAAACACAGTTTTGTCTGTTTACAGACTTAAATATATGTATTTGAAGAAGAAATATTGTGTATTTAACTAGTAAATTTTGTTTCTCAACACATCAGCCTATAAAAAAAGTACGGAACTATGAAGCTTTCCAAAATTTGTATAATAACTTAGGAAAATGTAGATACAAAATATTTATTATGTTATTTTGAGCCATCCAATACATACTTTAAATAATTTTTATAATAAAAAGATTGAAATTTAATCTATTTCTTAACCAATCTTGTTGTATACCAAATAATCATTTAGAAATAAAAAAGGTTCATTGAACATTGATTTAGCTCAGCACCAAATTAATTCTAGACCTTTTCTCTAATATCATAAAATCCTTCATAATGTGTAACTAATTAAATTTTAATTTTAGTTTCCATAAAATAAAGATAAAATGCAGAGATATGTGACGAGAATTTAAAGCCCTGAAATGGTGAGCCAAACTGGGTTGCAACCGTGTGCAAACTCCTCCCCTTGCAACATGTTGCAGCGTAATCGCTTCCCCTTTTTTGGATGGTCGATGGTGTTTGTTGTGTTGCACGGGGGTTTTTTTGGGGGGGGGTCTTCGAGAGAGGGTCCGTTGAGGTGTGGGCTCCCTACAGATTTTGCATTTACTCCGCTGCCTTTTTGGCCATTGCCAGGACTCTTGTTGCAGTACGCAGTACATGTCACCTACATATACACACGCCACACCGATGGCACACATGCGTATCTCGTTTACATAGGCGCCGGCCAACCAACGGCGTTCGTCCATGTCGCCTACACATTGGCGGGCGTCCTTGCGGGGGGCGGCAGTGGGTCGGTGGGCGGCGGAGGGTTCGACACTCTCTCATTCGTCGGCGGCAGCTGAAGGACCCCCGTTTGCCGCACGCCCCTCTTTCGGGCCATACAATGTTGCTCGTTTGGGTCTCGTGATCTCGGGCTTTCGTAACCGAAATGCGAAATATACAGCAAGGGGGCGGCGCAGGGGCGTGGCATTTGGCATTCGAGTAGTCCTCGTCGCGACGAATGCGTAAAGTTTACAAAAAATATCCTATATCCTTGCAACAAACTGCATTTAAATCTCCTGCTCTTTGATTTCATCTGGTATTCTGGTATTCTTCTTTTTTTCGAATTTATTTCCCTCTGCTGTTTGCTCTTGTTTCCACTTGCCATATTTTTATTGTACTGCCCCAAGCCATTTATCGGTCTCTTTGCTCGGCATAAATTTTAATCTTAATTAAATGCAATTTTAATAGCATTTTAAATTGCAAAAAGATACCAATTCTCGGAATGACGAGTTTACATTTAATCTAACCGCATTCTATCAGTAAAAACAGTATCCAAACTGGGTATTTCGGTATACCACCAAGTTAAATGATTTTTACTTTTTTCCTATTTTCCAGCTTAATTTTCTAATTTTAGAAACTTATGTTTTAGGTTGACTTAGGTTTAGGTTTAGGTTTTCTACCAGAAAATAGCTTTTTCTTGAACTTTCATTATGCTTAAAATGAGTTGTTATTCCTCACTAAGAAGGTTATTCTAATAGGTTGTTGTTGGGCTCATAACTAGTTTCAGCTATTTCTAAAAAAAATAGGTGAAAAAGGAAAACGTTTGCGGAAGACAAAGAATAAAATCTTTCTTATTCGTTCAACAAAATTAAACACAGATTGTATTATTTACTTTACTTTTACTAACCATCGCTACTTAATTTACTTATACTAATATAAATTATTAATTGATCAACAGACCAGAATATTTTAGTCCGTCTATTCTTTTAGGTATGTACTAAAAGAAGTATTATTTTTATTCAATAATCGTGTACCATTTAATTTAATAATTATGTTTAGGGTTTCAAAGGATTGTCTTCCCTTTATAAAATAATCCTTTGCGTTAACTTCATCCCGAAACATGTCTGTCTATTCAAAGCCAGAAACTTTTCTGGCAATTGTTTAATCCAATTGAATTTATAAGTGGCCCATAATTAAAATTGAAACTTTTCTACTTCCTTTTCCTGTTATTTCCTGTTAGCCTGTAAATTTGCTGCAACCGGATGATGATTGTCTTGGTTTTAGCTTTTCTTTCCTTAATCAGGATTAATGATGTGAAAAGTACAAATTTGCAAATGCTAGGTAATTAAGTTTTAGGTTTTAGTTCACAAAACAAACAGGGACTTTTAAGTTATAATGAGGCTTAAAAAAATGT